TAATTTATTTTTGGTTTAATAATATAACATTTTATAAAGATAATAATTAAGTATTCTGTTAGAACTCAATGATTATCCTAATTATATTTTAGATTTTTTTATCTTTAAAATAAGATGTTTATCTGCAATTAGTTACACGAAGTCAAATATGAAGCTTTAATAAATTGTACTTACGCACAATCTACTTGTAATCTTGATGCATTAATAAACAATACTTTACGCATAAAAAGTAATTTTTAAGAGTTTTTGTCAAATGTTTTATAATATAGTATAGATAAATTTTTTTTAATTTAATTTAAGTTTAATAGTGAAATAATTTATTTTTGGTTTAATAATATAACATTTTATAAAGATAACATTTTAGCCAAATGCTTTATAATATAGTATAGATATGTAAATTACCAATAATTTTTTTTTATTATTAACCTGGATATCCAACCCACTATACGAGTCGATTAATTTCAGGACGACCGTCTGTTTTGCAGATAGCCCGGAGTCACCTCATTTGAACCTCCGTGGTTACAAGAGGATTTTTATTCTTCCTTGGATTTGAACATGGGATCTCCAGGTACTTTTTAATCTTTGGAGTCAAGTTCAAACCAATCAGGCACCACTCCAATGTTGTGGTTATTACCAATAAATTTTTGCATGGTAACAAGAGGTTTATTATGAAAATATAGAAATTAATAATAAATAAAATAATATATTTATTCTTTTGTTTTAAAACAAAACCAAGATAAAAAATAAAGTTAAAGTTAGAAGGAAAAAAGTAAAATAAATGCAAGATGCACATTCCTTTCTTGCTAAACAGGTTAACATTTTTCTACTTTAAGATCCAGATATATATAAATGATGGTGGTGCCATGTTACCAATCAAAGCAGCCATTCTTAATTTGATGGCACGTAGCCTATCTTCTGCTCATTTCTTCCCATCTTCTTTCTGTTAATATAAGTATTTTCACACAAGACTCTCAAGATCATTATACATATACACACACACACACACATATATATATATATATATGTGTAACAAATATGGAGGAGATGTATTATGATCGGAGGAGGCTTATAACAATTCATTCAGAACACAAAAGCATCCACTTGATCTTGTAGATTTACAACCTAAATATCCGGAATATGAAGAAGAATATGAAGATGAAGAGGATGAGTGGATTACGAAATGGGACTTCCGTAGTAGATGTCGTCTATGCCGCAAAGAAATCAACCTCTACCACAGGTATTATTACAACTGTTCTCATGGATGTGATAACTACTCGCTCCACAAGTTCTGTGGGGACCTTCCTGCAACATTGGAACATAGTATTGATGATATTTTTCCGTGCGAATTTCTGGTTTGTAAAAGTGGGTTTTATACTTGGAACTGGATGTGTGCAATTTGTAGAAGCCTTCACGAAGCTGAAGAAGTATCTTATTCCAGTTGGGTGTCTGGACATATCATTGGTCTAAAATGTGTGACGAGGCAGGGAAAAAATCTCAACTATCATGACATGATCTATCATCCAAGCCATCCACACCCACTATCAACGGTCAACTTCAAGCCAATTTTAAGCGAGTGTGATGCTTGTGGAAAGAGACACATGGGTATCTTCTATCATTGTACAACATGTTTTTGCTTCTCCATTCATACTCAATGTGCTTTTCTTCCCAAAAAGTTACAAGCCCAACATACTCATCCACTAAACCTTTCTTATTCTTTCCCCATAAATGAAAGAGAAGAGAATTGTCATCCCAAGTGTCGGATATGTGCTCTTGCTTTTGATTACAGTGAGCTTCTGTGGATTTATAAATGTGAGAAATGTAGATATTATGTACATCTTCATTGTGCAACATCAAGAGAAGAGCCATTCATGTCTATCTTCTTGTCTGCAGGTATTAAGCTATATATACACATATATGTCTTACTACTATACTGTTTTCATTTGAATTGCTTATATATATGGTTCTTGATTAATTAATTATTAGATATGGGCTCATTTTCCATCCATCAGGTGCTGGGGAAACCAGTAAAAATTTCAAAGATGAAGATCATGGAGATCTTGTCCATCTTCCATTTCCTGATCAAACATACAGCCTACTACAACAAAAGTTTTCCAACAAAAATGAAGGAAACCTGAACCTGAAACACATTAGTCACCAACACCTGTTGTGTCTAACATCCTCGACTAGTGACCATTGTCATAACCCAATGAAAAGGGAGGAGGTATTATGCAGTGGATGTATCAGACCAATCATGACCATGCCATTCTACAAGTGTACTAAAGGTTGCAACTTTTTTCTCCACGAGTGGTGCACCCAATTGCCTGCTGAAATCCAAAACCACCCAGGTCACCCACAACATACACTTGTTTTCTTGCCAAACGTCTCTTGTAAATTCTTTCATGTGTTTTGTTGTCAAGTGTGCTATTTATCTTGCAATGGGTTTGCCTACGGCTGCATCGAATGTGATTATTACATTGATATTAGTTGTGGATTCATACCTGAAAAAATCGTACATGAAGCTCATCCACATCATCTTCTTTTAAGAGCCAAAACAAGAGCGGATACTTATTGTGGTGCATGCTTGTCCCAAATCTTTCGGAGGATATACCCTATCAGTTTCAGGTGTATCACTTGTGAGTTTAACCTACATCCCACATGTGCTTTATCATTTCCTCGTATGATGAGGCACAAGCTTGACAAACACCCCATGAACTTGAGGTACCTCCCAGTTGAGAACCATAAGAGCAAATACTTTTGTGAATTTTGAGAGGAAGAAATGGATCCCAACAAGTGGTTCTATCATTGTGATGTGTGTGCACAGTCTATGCATCGCTCTTGTGTTCCAGTAATACGTAGGAACGAAGAAGCTTACCACGACAAATACCTGGACGTTTATTACTTTCAGAATATAAAATTTGGGGGGATTCATAACATGGAAGGTCATCCACATGCTTTATCATTTGCTCAAGGGATCAAAACAGACGGTGGATGCACAAGTTGTGGGTATAAATTGGAGCAACAAATTATTTTTAAGTGTTTCAAGTGCAAGTTTGCAATTCATTGGTATTGTTATTCGAGATTATTACAGAAACCTGCAATTTATTCCGAGTGAGATACCTGTGGTTTGGTTAATTTGTTGTTGGAGATGGGAGCATCTCTTTAAGTGTACGTGTATCAGTTAATTTCTGATTCTTGTAATCGTTCGATCAGTATTACATGTGATAATCATAATATATACAAAGGGTATAAGTGGTGTAGGCAATTGTGGACCAACGTCAAATCTGATAATTCTTTTTTTTATCCGCAAGTGGCAAAAGTGGGTCTTGCGGATATATTGATATTTGGGTAAATCATGGAGAGAAATAGTTAGGAGACCAATTTACAGTAAAAAAAATGACTATTTTGACCAATCTCCCGATTTGTTTTTGTGAATTTACTACGAGGGTCACTTGTCTTGTACTTTTCACGCAACAAATGTACCACTTTCTTGTTTATACTAAGAAAATATAAATTTTGTTTGAATGACAATGTGATAAAATTGGGTTTATAGAACATTAAAAAATTAGTCAAAAAATGACTAAAATGCCCCTCATATGGAGGGCACTTGGAAGTTTAACAAAACAAAATTAATGATTCTGTTTCATTACACAATTAAAAACATCTAACAACCAATAAGCTTAAATAATTATACTGTTACATTCGTATCAATTACTAGAGGTGTAGTAGTCCAGTTTGATAGTTTGAAGCACAAATCTTGACTGAATCGGCAAATATTGCCATATTGGTTTGACAAACTTGCAAAACATATAGAGCTGATTTGGTGGTTTCGACCGATCATCTGTTTTGTTTTTCATTTAAAAGTACATATAACGATGAATCGTCAATAATTATATAATAGATGCCAATGATCTAAGAGCATCTTCAATGGATTTTTGAAATTTTGTTGTCTAATTCATCAAATTAAGAAATTTCTTAAAAGTTCATGATGGTAATTCTTATAAGAACCTGCTTTTTGTTGGTTTTATTCATTATTTCAACATCAATAATTATTATATTAATAATTATAAAGTCAAGAAAAAAAATTTAAAAAATGTTCACTTCTCACAAATTTCATAAGGTTCATATAAAAACCACTCTCTAATGATAGCTCTTACAAACTACTACTTTTTTGCTAATAAAAACATTTCATCTGAGATGCTCTACTAATTCAAATTTACATCAGAATACTAAAAACCACATGAAATCATTTCCCTTAAAAAATTTAAATTCATATCAGCCATTCAAATATTAAACCTTTCACATTTAAAAAGCAAAACAAAAGTAAAAAATATAAACCAAATAAAAGTAAATATGTAACAAAGGGAATGTTACCCCAACCAATTAACGGGTAAGAATTACAACCCTACTTACCTTTATTAGTTTGTTGTAATATGATGAATGGTTTGCATGTTTTTAAATCATGATATGTCGTTAAGACCTTAGTGAAATGTGGGACGTGTTCCCTACATTACATTCCTAATAAATGTTTTGAAAATGTAAATAAAAAAAAACATAAGACATATATTCATATGTTGCTGAAGCAGTTGTGAATTTTTCCAGTTAATGATAACAAAATCGATCATAAGTGATGCAGGCCTTGGCTGGAGGCACATGATCGGGCTAAAAGGGCATCCCATTTAAACCATCATAACTTTTGTTAGGAGACTACGTTTCAGGCCCATGACTAATTGATTCGAAGCTTGAAACAAGAAACATACCTTGGTGGATAAATTTTGAGACCTAAAAACGTTGTTTAAGTACTTTTTTGGACACTTTTATGTTTTTTGCTACTATTTATATTTGATGTTCAATATATAGTCTCTTTCAGGACCATTTTGTTTTGGCCGTTTTATTTGCCTCATTTTTATGTAATCTAGATGGTCATATTGGAAATTCAAGAACTTCCATTTTCTTCCCAAATTTTGAGTTCACAGTGAATTCAGATTTGAAGCCTAAAGTTGAGTATTCATCGAATCAACGAACTTCGGTGGAGATTATTTCTCAAATATTCATAGAATCAATAGGTTTAATCTTCATCTTCATTATTATAATTTCACAATGAATTCAGAGTTGTCATAACCCAATGAAAAAGGAGGTATTACGCAGTGGATGTATCAGACCAATCATGACTATGTCATTCTACAAGTGTACTAAAGGTTGCAATTTTCTTCTCCATGAGTCGTGCACCAGATTTCCTCCTGTAGTCGAAAACCACCGAGAGCATCCACTCCTTCTCCTGCCAGAACTCCATTGTGATTTACCGTGTGTGTTTTATTGTTCCATTTGCTCGTTGTATTGCAATGGGTTTTCCTATGGTTGCATCAAGTGTGGATTTTTCATTGATGTTAGTTGTGCATTCATACCCGGAAAAATCACACGTGAAGCTCATCCAAATCACCTTCTTTTAAGAGTCGAGACGAGAGAGAATGCATAGCGTGGTGCATGCTCGTATCAGTTTCAGCTGTACCACTTGTGAGTTTCGGCTACATCTTAGATGTGCTTTGTTAATTCCTTTGCAGTTGATTACTTTTAATCGTGGTGAGAGATTCGGATGGACAATGTGTATATAGTCCTGTGCTAAGAGGAAAGATGTGAGTTATATACCGAATCCATTTGTTTTTGGTGATTGGAGCGGAATATCTTCAAGTCTAATTGGCTCGGTTTATCATTCTTCTTAATTACTGTTTGATTTGTTTACTTGAATATATACATACATACATATATAGCCCCATAGGTTAACTTGAGAAGTGCTAAATGTATGAGAAATAGAGAAGTGATCATAGTCTTTCATCTATAAGAAAATGGTTAAGATTTCACCGGATAATTTGGTCGCATGGTAACAACTATGCGGAAGATAAATGGGTAGTTTCGTAGCTTTTATGAATAAGCGGCAAACAAGTACGTATGTGAACTCGTTTTGTTCACATATGAACTATATGTACATATGTGAACGTGTGTGATTTACATATGTAATTCATATATGAATTATATGTGCACATATGAATTTGTGTAATCATATATAAACTATTTAATTGATTTATATGAACTACTTATCTGATTCACATATACACTATTTAACTGATTCATATATAAACTTGAATGATTTACATATGAACTATTTAATTAATTTATAGATTAAGAAATTTGATAATTTTGATAACCTAGAATTGCGATATATGGTCGAGAAAAAATTGTTAACAGGTCGTATATCGCCGATCATACTTGCATTGTTGTCATCGACAATGACTATGAAGTGATCAGTGGTTAACGAGGTATGTCTTGATCCAAGGGCTAGGATCACTCTCTACTTCTCATACCATAACACTTCTCGAATAAACCTCTCCATTTGTGTGTATATATGTATATGTATATATATGTAGGTGGAGGTTCAAACGAGAACACCTCTATTTTACGAGAACGCGAGAACACCCATATCACATGTAATAATATGCGTGAGAGGACCATGTGATGTGCGAACGACGTGTTCTACGATTGAGGCCGCACCAAAGGTTGTCTGCGTCTATGATTTGCATCACATGTAACGGTCTTGATGGATTATAATATCATATCAACACCACCTTTATCACATATGATAATGCTTGTGAGGGGGCTTAGTGGTATAAGGGTGACTTGGCCCACAACCAAGATCATATCGAAAATCATACGCGTCTCTGATTTAGTATCATATGTGATGAAATAATAGTATCACATGTGATTGTCTATAGTAAAATGTATGACATTCTCGTAAAACGAAGGTGTTTTCATTTGAACCCTTCCTTATATATGTGTATGTGTATGTGTATGTGTATGTGTATGTGTATGTGTATGTGTATGTGTATGTGTATGTGTATGTGATATTTTGAGAAATGGTAAATATGTATTTCTTTGAATTTTTATATTATTATAGAAGTCTTAAATATGTGTATTTCTTTGAAGAAGAGCATTTTCAACAAATTCTTTATAATTTTTATAAAATAAGAAATCATAAGTCAAAATCTTCGATGTTAAAAATTATAGCATAAATTATAATATAAACATATTCAATATATTTAATATCACAATAAAATATTTAAACCTTCATTGGGAAAGGCTACTTTCTCACTCCAAATAAAATTTTATTTGACACACGTAAAAGATCTATTATACATTACTTCTTCCCGCTTTATTCATTTTTGAGATGCATTTTCCTATGGAGTCGAGTTTCATCTAAAAATCTATAAAATCTCTACCTTCTCCATTTGGAGAATCTGTGGGAGTACAGTTTTCAGGCCTGGGCCTTAGCCTTCCACATCTATTTCTGGTGAGGGGAAAAAGGCCCTGGCTTTTTAGGTACTACCCGAGCTTTGGGGTGAAAAAGGATACAATTGAGCTTTTTGAGATGGTTTTTTGAGGTTTTGTCGGGTTTAACCGAGTTTTTCCAGGTTTTTTCAAATTGGGCCTATCCCCAGGCCTAACCCCAAAAATATTGGATTGATAACACAAGGGTGGTGCGTGGTGGATAAGAACAAAGGGATGATAAAATAAACTCGAATTTTGCCATCTACATATACACTCGTGGTCACTAGAAGATTTCCCTCAGGGTTGTAGGCGAAGCCTACAATCACAATGTGTTGGTGATGTTATTATCGTTAGTCATTTGGTGTAATTGTGATTTCTTAAATCGATTAAAGTGATAAGCCAAACAATATGAATTAAGAGGTATAGAGTGCACACTCACAAATGTTTGTCCCTAACACCTTAGATTGTCGAAAGGTGGGGGTCAAGGGGTTGTGCCACCTTGCGGGGTTCTAGGGGTAGCGCCCCTTGCGGGGTCCAAGGGGAGCGCCCCAAGATCTATTGATTTAAAGAAGAGTCTTATAAGTTTTGGGATGAGCGGGACAAATTTCAGAAGGTTAGTGATCTTCTTGAAATCGTTCTTGAACTTGGTGAAATTTCGACTGAGTGTAGTTTAGAGACATGGTAATCAAAACCTTTGAGCCTTATGCTCAGAGCTCTGAGTCCACGCTCAAATTTCTAAGTGATGAGGATCAGAGCATCTGGCCTCTAAATGTTCAAGGTCTCTGGTCCACAAGATCAAAGCTTCTGATCCTCATGATCAAAGCTCTGGACCTCTTCTTTGTGATGGTTCTAACTGAGAGCCTCTAAGTTATCAGCAACTGTTATGTAATCTTATCCATAAAAAAGTTGTAATTGCTATTCAGTTGCAAATTAACAGTCGATCTATTATATATACACACACACACACATACATATATATATATATATATATATACACACACACACACACATATATATATATATATATATATACACACACACACACACATACATACATATTTGTGCCTTAATTAATTTATGGATTATCATCGGTACTAATTTCATGTTCACCTAAGACAATAATAAGAGCAAAATATAGTATTAATTTGGGCAAAGCCTGAAATCTCCTATTCCAAAAAATTTTTTTTTTTGCCCTGATTGGACCTAGGCTTACGGTTCACTAGGCCAAGCTTTTCAGGCCTCACTGGTCTTCGAGCTTGGCCGTTTTCATGCATCTCTACTTTGTTACAATATATTTCTTGAAAATGCTACTATAATTTTGTAAAAGAAACTCTTCTGATTTTTTATATTAAACTTTATTGTTTAATATGTTTTGTCATATACATAAAGAAAAATAAAAAATTTGAAAGTAAATTTGGTACAAGAAACAAAACAATCTAGTGTTCATTTTAATATGATCTACCATTTTATATAATTGTCGTTGCCTAATTAATGTAAATGGTCGACAATGAGTTATACGTTACCTTAAATTGACGTTTATATCATTACAACAAAATACAAATCATGTAATTTTTAGATTTTATTTATTTAAATAAACAATAACAAAAATTAGAATACATTTCAAGATTTGAAATTGGATTCATATTTTGTTTCTCAGTTCCAAAATCACAAAAAAACAAACATCAAAACCCACAAAGAAAATATGAATTCATATTTTTCAGACAACAGAAATGGTGACTTTTGCTCTTCCAAATCTCTACCATTTGCGCGTAATCTGCATAATTTCTGGAGATTGACTTCTTTTTTTTCTCCATTTCTCTTCTCTCGATGCTTATTTGGTTTCCCTGATTTCTATCAGTTTACTTAATTCATTACTCCATTTGATTGGATGGTTGAACAATGTGCTCGATAATCGCAACTGGGTATCTCGCTTTTTTGGATTATTTCCTGTTTTTAATCGGGATTTGTTTCTTTTCTATTACTTTTACATTTGATTTTGAAATGGGTTTTGTTTAATGTCTAATCTTATTTGAGTTTTTGTCTTGTGGCATTCATGGTCGATACATTTAAGGGGAACTCATAATCAACTAAAATATCCCTAGTGAGTCTGATATTTCTGAATCTGAAATTGGGTATCTTCTTGTTATTATCGTTAATGCATTTTTAAAGTTTTTTATGAAACTTGTGTATGTATTTTACGGCCTTAAATTCTTGATTGTTCAGTAGGGTTCATGATTATTTGATACAGCTAAAAATCTGTGGCTTGTTTGTATAGTTCCATCTTGGTTTAGGGTACCCAAATGAACAAAATTGGGTTCCTATAGGGTTTAAACATCTTTCCAATTGACTGTAATTGATAAATATGGTTAAGGAAGCTGTTTGATCTGAATTGATGAATTTATGGAAGCTTAATTTAAAATGGATTCTTTTTCCTGAAAAAAGAAATCTTGATTTTATATCGATCGAATGTGAAAGTCTGTTTACGGAACGAATCACGATTAATTAATCGTTGTTCTTTCGGTTTTGGTTAATATCAGGTCTTGTTCATATTAGATATAACATTCTTGTTGGTCAATCAATTTTCCAGCTTGTTGTTTCTGTTTGGATGTATTAGTACTCCTCATAGTAGTTGCTATCATTTTTATGTAATTTTTTTTATTAACCTGGATATCCAACCCGCTATGCTAGCCGACTAATCCCAGGACGACCACCTGCTTTGCAGATAGCCCGGAGTCATCGCATTTGAACCTCGGTGGCCACAAGGGGATTTTTTTTTCTACTTGGATTTGAACCTGAGACCTCTTAGTACTTTTGACTTTTGGAGTCAAGCTCAAACCAATCAGGTACCACTTTTGTAATTTATACTATTTTTCATATATTTTCAGAAACAGCATTTGAATATTTCATGCATTAGATGGTTGGTAAGAGAATCTACATGGTACTTGGTTTTTTAGAGTTTCAGCTAACAACTCACCACAATTTTTAGTAAAGAAATGCTCAAAGGGTCCCTTGGTTGGCCTTTTCTTGAATAATATATGGCTTCATTTGTCATTTTATCCATGGGAACTTTTGGTTAGATGCTTGCTTGCATACCATATAAAGATTGCTTTACACATTGTGTTCATTAGACGAAAACTCGAGCGGCGAACATGTTTTAAACGCTCAAAAGGGGATTTGAAGATCGGCAATGGCTCCACGGGGCGGTGTTCTCTATGATGTCGAGTCTCGGCCTAAATATCTGAAATATGATGTGGAAATGGAGAAAACTGTAAAAACCAACACAAGGGCTTCAAACAACGGTTTATACGAGCTTCTTGAATGTCCTGTGTGCGCTAACTTAATGTACCCACCGATTCATCAGGTTTGTCTCGGAAATCAGTAAAATTTTGTTCAAATTTCATACCTCTAGATAGAGTTTCACATTGGCTAGACTTGGATCATTTATTTCTTAATATCTGTTGAAACCCCCTTTCTATCCTCAAAGGCTCTTTTGAAGGGTAACTTAACGGGGTTCTATATATCCTCACATGGTATCACAGCCAAGGTCAGACGCATTGGATGAATTGTGCCTGTCTAGCCTCCGTTGGAGGGGGCGTGTTAAAGTCCTACAGCGACTAGACTTGGACCATGATCTTCTCGAATTATGTTTGCACTTCCATAATCTTTTCAAGGGCTATTTTGGAGAACAATCTAACAAGGTTCCGCATATTTTTTACAAAGTGTAATGATATGATTTGTTTCTTGTAGTGTCCAAATGGCCACACTTTGTGCTCGAACTGCAAAACTCGAGTGCAAAATTGCTGCCCGATATGCCGTTTTGAGATGGGTAGCATAAGGTGTTTGGCTTTGGAGAAAGTAGCAGAATCATTGGAGCTTCCTTGCAGATACCGAAGTCTCGGCTGCCATGACATTTTCCCTTATTACAGCAAGCTGAAACATGAGAAAAGTTGTCGATTCCGCCCCTACAAGTGTCCCTATGCTGGCTCTGCCTGCTCAATCACAGGCAAAATTCCAGAACTCGTGACACATCTGAAGGACGATCACAGTGTCGACTTGCACGATGGATCCACATTCGACCATCGTTACGTTAAATCTAACCCACATGAAGTCGAAAACGCCACTTGGATGCTAACTGTAAGTTGTATATACGTTGGAATCTCCCTTGTTTTTTTTGAAGGGTAATCTAACGGGGTTTCACGTATTAATCTTGGTTTATAATGGTGTGTAGGTATTTAAGTGCTATGGAAAGCAGTTCTGTTTGCACTTTGAGGCTTTTAATCTGGGCATGGCTCCGTTCTACATATCGTTCTTGTGTTTCATGGGGGAGGACACCGAAGCCAAGAAGTTCAGCTACTCGTTAGAAATCAGTGGAGGTGGCCGGAAATTGACGTGGCAAGGGGTTCCGAGGAGTATCCGTGACGGTCATCAGAAAGTTCGTGACGGACTAGACGGATTAGTCATTCCCCGGAACTTAGCTCTCTTGTTTTCAGGCGGCAATGGTGAAGAACTAAAGTTACGAGTTATAGGGCGTATATGGAAACAGAAACAAGTTATAAGAAACTAGCTTTCAGATTGTACATATATAGTTTCTTGCAGCAATTCCAATCAAAAGTTCAGAAATTCCTAACATGTTTAAAATCTATCATTTTGACAACCACAAATTAGCTTATTTTTTCGAGTTTACTGAAAGAAAGAAAAAACTTTGTTTGATAAGTCATAAGTTAGTTATTTGAAAAGTTACTTTTAACCAAATGGCTGGAAGGTGTGGGTGTGGTAGTGAGGTCAAGCCGGAAGTATTAGGAGCCGAGGCTACGACTTTTTTCAGGACTTTTGACGATATCATATGTAATTATACATACATACACACATGCTCAAAAAATCAATGTTTGTTTTTGTCACTTTGTTTTTTGTTCATAAGGTATATATAGGAGGGTATAGAGTGTCTCAGGGCACCGATCAGGACAAGCGAAGTTTTTACTATCTATACTATACTATAAATCATTTGACAAAAACTCTTAAAAACCATTTTTTATGTGTAAAGTATTGTTTATTAATTCATATTACTTAAAACTCAAGATTATAAGTAGATTATGCATAAATACAACTTATTAATGCTCCATATCTGAATTCATGTAACTAACTGCAGATAAACATAATCAAATACAGAATAAACATCTCATTTTAAATATAAAAAAATTTAAAATATAATTAGGATAATCATTGAGTTCTAATAGAATACTTAATTATTATCTTTATAAAATGTTATATATACTATATTATAAAGCATTTGACAAAAACTCTTAAAAACCATTTCTTATGCGTAAAGTACTGTTTATTAATGCATATTACTTAAAACTCAAGATTGCAAGTAGATTGTGTGTAAGTACAACTTATTAAAGCTCCATATCTGAATTCGTGTAACTAA